TTTGGCTATTGTAGGGCTTTTCAAATCAAGGATCGCCTTGAGCTGATTTAGGTTGGTTTCTATTCCCCTCCTAGTTACCAGATATCCCAGGAACTTACCAGATCCGACTCCAAATGCACACTTTAAAGCATTGAGTCATAGCCTATATGCTCTCAGGATATGGAAAACTTCCTTCAAGTTGGCCAAATGGTCTCCTGGCTCTTTGCTCTTGACAACCATGTCGTCAATGTAGACTTCAACTATTTTTCCAATCAAGTGTCTAAACAACTATGTTACCAGTCTTTGATATGTTGCTCCTGCATTCTTGAGCCAAAAGGGCATCACTCTATAGCAGTAGAGTTCCTTGGGGTGATGAATGCCATTGTCTCCTCATCCGGGGGATACATTACGATTTGGTGGTATCCCCTGTAGGCATATAGAAAGCTCATTCTTCCATGCCCAGATGTAGCGTCAACTAGCTGGTCAATCTTGGGTAAGGGGAAACAGTCCTTCTAGTAAGCCTTATTCAAGTTTGTGAAGTCTACGCAGACTCTCCGCTTCCCATTCTTCTTTCTTACCACCACTGTGTTGGGTAGTGCACTTCTCGGATGGCTTGTGCTTCCAACAACTTCTCTACTTTGTCTTCCACTGCTTGTACATGGGCCAAAGTGGGTCTTCTTGCTCTCTAAATGACAAGTTTAGCCGACCTGTCCACATTCAGTCTATGGCGTATGACCTCGGGGTCAATGCCAGGCATCTCATACGGTGTCCAAGAAAACACCTCTATGTTCTCCCTAAGAAAATTTTCCAGCTCCTTTTCCTCGTCCTCGTCCTCGGCCAAGCTAGAGCCAAGGAGGAAGTATCTCTCTTCATCACCCTCCTATACAATAACCTTTTTCCAAGGCTCTTCGCTCTTGTCCGCTGGCTCCATGCCGACATCTTCCAAGACCTGTCTATTCTTATCTTCAATCTTCGCTATCTCAGCTTCTTTAACGATGCAGGTGTACTTCATTACTGCCATGGAGCAATTTTTCGCCTGTACTTGGTTTGCCCTTACTTCTTCAATCCCTTGATCAGTCAGGAACCGCAACAGCTAGTGTAGCGTGGAAGGAACAACCCTCATTGCATGCAACCAAGGTCGTCCCAAAATGATATTTTACGGGGAGGGAGTATCTATCACAGTGAACTCAGTTGTTACCTTTCCGCTTCATGCCTGCACTTCCAGGTTTGTGGCTCCCAGAGGCCATGTCGACGTCCCGTTGAATCCTACCATGGGGCTGTCAGACTACTCTAAATCATCTGGGTGAAGGCCAAGCTCCTTGTAACATCTAACATACATGACGTCACAAGAGCTGCCTTGGTCAATCAGTATGCGCATCACCTGTCACTCTCCAATCTTTAGAGTTACCACCAAGGCATCGTTGCGCGGATGTTGGACCATATCCAGGTCTGCCTTAGTAAAAAAAAAAAAAAAAACCATTGCTCAGTGGTATTCATCTGTCTTGGGCTTCTTTCGCTGGACCTGATATATATGTTGCAGGTGTCTTACTCTTTAGGTCTCCCCTCGTGTTTCATTCTCATTAACCTTTGAGTGAATCACATTAATTACCCGAGGTCCATGTGTTTGCTGTGGTGGTGATGGTAGAGGTGGTGTTGCCAGTGCCTGGGGAAACCTTGCATGCTTTTCTCTTGTCTTGGCCTCATCTACTAGGTCTCTTAGGTGACCCTATCTAACAAGATCTTCTAAGTGTGACTTCAGAGCCCTGCACCCCTGAGTTAAGTGCACATCTTCATTATGGTAAGCTCAATTCTTCCTAATGCTCATTCCCATAAATTTGCCAAGGATCTTCTCCGATGCCCTATAATATGGTTGGTTCCTGATCCTCTCCAGAAATTTATAGATAGGGATCTTGAATACCGTGTTGACTGCCTGCATAGCCCTTGCTCCTGTTTCTTGCCTGTCAACACCGGTATTTCCTCAGCTTTGCTTCGATGAGCTGTTCCTTCTTTCTTGATTTGATGTCCCCACTCCTTATGTGTCTTCTTCCGCTCTGGCATACTTCTCAATTTGTGACATGAACTCTTCCATGCTCTTCGGTAAGGTCATTGCAAGTGACTTCCGAGCGGACATTTATCATTCGGGCCATTCTTGAAAGACATGATCGCCAACTCCTAGTTACAACCCGGAATCCAGTTGTACACCTCGTAATATCTCTTAGCATAAGCCCTAAGGCCTTCGCCATCATTGATATTCAAAGCCAATAGAGAATCTACCCTCAGTGGCTGCGATTTGTTCGTAACAAACCTGGCCATAAACATCTCGGCTAGACCTGCCCAACTCTTCACAGTTCCTTTTGGCAACTTGTGGAGCCAGTCAGATGTTATCTCTCCAAAGGATGAAGGAAATACCGTACATAGCAGCTGCTCATTCCCGCTCCACAAAGCCATTGAATTAAATACAAACCAACATAAAAAGTTTGGATCAGACTTACCGTCATAAATATGAAACCTCAGCATGTTGAATCTTTTTGAGGCCTCAAATGTGTCCAACTCCATCGAGAATGGTGTCCTCGGCTTGACAGTGGATGTGATCTTGGCGTTCAGTCACTTTCTGTGGAGGTAGTCCCTCAGATCCTCCTTCGTTCTACCGGGAGCTCGGCTATCAATAGACTTCAATCTCTTTGATGTGCTTCTCCTGATGAAGTTGTGTGTCCTCTTGGACTTCTCCTCATCCACTGCGTCAAAACAAAAGCCCTTTCCCTGAATATGCCGAGACTCTTTCACATAGGTCCCCTTGGTTCGTGGTATCTTCTGTGACTCACCTCGTACTGACTTTGTTGGCCCAGTATCCCGTGACCACTGATGTGAGTGCTCATATCCCTTGCCATGCTGCGGGACTACTAGGATCATTTTTTGTCCCCTTTTCTGGGCATCAGCCTTGGCTGTTGGTGTCGGCGTGTCTTACAACGAGAATTGTGGTTGCATCATGTTGTTTTGCATCATGAAGTTGATAACCGATTGTAGGTATGCCAACTTGTTTGTCATTCCCTTCATCTCTCCATCCCTCATCAAGCATCTATTATTCTATACCTCGAGGTTGTTTTCGTTGTAATACTTGTCTCAATCTCTCTTCTTCGAGACGTTACACTCTTTGCCGGCGTCCTTTTCCCTGAGGTTCAATTCCTATACTCCCTCGTTACGATTTTCATCCCTGGCATTAGGATCTATATGTTCCTTACTCTCACTGTAGATGTCATCCCCTATCTTCTTTTTCTGCTCGTTTTTTGCCATCTATTCTACTTAAGTTCCCACAGATGGCTCCAAAATTGTGGGTGTTGATTTCCGACCACACAATCAAAAGTGGGAACTCAGCTGGAGAGCACCGGCAGAATAAATTAAGCCCAACAACCTGTAACAAGAAGATGAGAATTCTGTGGTGGTTCGTCCACCCCAGGGGCACTCCGACAGTCAAGTTAGTAAACAATATCTCTCACAGAAAACAACTAGTACTCAAAACTCACTAGAAGGAACTTACCTTCGACCCACGAAGGTGTCTTGCTTTTATAACCAACAGTGACATGATCCCTTTAGAAGCCTCACTTTAGTGGACTTAGGCTCAATGCTCATCTTAGACTCTCTGCTAGATAGGGATAAACTTTTCTTGAGTCTTATCCTTATCCAGACTGAAATCCAGACTGAAATCCTCTCCTGTTCTAGGACTCTTGTCCTTTATCCAAATACCTCGGATTCTAGCATCTCCGCAGATAACCTCGGCCTAGCCGAAATCATCTCGGCAAACATGACCAGGCCACATAGCACCTTAGTTGACACTTTGGCGTCACCTTAACCACGTGCTATCACTCACAAAATACTTCCCCACAAACACATTAAATGGCATCATACCATTATTGAAAAATAAAAAATTAGAATTTGTTCAAAAAAAAAAAAGAATTAGAATGAAATTAGAGGGGTCCAATGAAAGAGGCAAACAAGGCTGGGTCATGAATAAGATAGTCAAACATAATTACACAATTGCAAAGGGTAATTCAATACGTATCATTTTCAGAATTTTTTTTTTTTTTGGTTCTAATTATAATGTATCCCTAATAAACTACCATTTTGGACAAATTCGTATCATCTAACCTCTCAGTACACAACCATCCACTACCACCATCACTATTAGTCACCATCATTGCAACTTCATTTCTTCTCTCTCTCTCTCTCACAGCCCCATCGACCTCTTAATCCCTTCCTAGCCTTGTTGCACTTCTTTAATTCCCTTACTTATTGCTATCTTTCTCCCTAGTTGCCCCTCCACAATCCTTTCCATCTACTGCCACCCTTCCTTTTTCATTGTCCCTCTCTTGAAATCCTATCTCCACAAAGTTCACACTACTACCATGACCCAGGCTTAGGGTTTTCTTATCTAAGGTTTTAAAAAAGAAGAAAATGAGGTATGGAGGGTTGGGTTGTGCACATGAGTAGTTAAAAGGGTTTGCAGTTGTGTGTAATGTGGGTATAAAGAGGCTACAATGGTTTTGAGAAAAGAGGTTGCGGTGTTGTCCGATATGAAGAAAAGAAATTGGGGTTCTAAAGAGAAAAAGGAGTTGAGGTAGCTTTAGAGAGAGATGAACAGTAGTGAGATGCGGAGGGCGATGAGAGAGAATGAGGGCTACAAGAAAACAATGTGGTGAGGGAAGGTGGTAGCTAAAGGGCTAGGGTTTGGGTATGAATGTTTAAAAAAAAAAAAATGCATATTGATATTTTTTAAAAATTGATGGTGTAAAATAAAAAAAATAATAACAAAAAAATCAAATTAAATGTGTTGTGAATTAAGTAAATAGCTTATAATGAGACAAAATATGAAAATTAACTTGCAATTCACTCACATTAGCACAATAACAACTGTATCTGATCTTCCATGATTAAATATATGACAAATAAATAAATAAATAAAAATTCATGTTGACATAAATAAGTTTTTTTTTTTAACTAAAATTTTACCCAATTGCAAAACAGACTCCATACCTCCGTAAGAAGCAAAGACAGTCAAAAAGGTCGCAGAGCTTCAAAACCTCCTTTTAACAGTGTCTTTCTTCGAGGGTTTTACCAAATCCCAGCAAAGATATGAAGCTCGCAGGCCTCAAATCGGTCGACAATGCCCACGACGACTCGGTGTGGACGGCGACGTGGGTCCCAGCCACGGATGAGCGGCCAGCGCTCCTTCTGACGGGGTCGCTGGACGAAACAGTGAGGGTGTGGAGCCCCGACGAGCTCACAAACGTCGCCACCAACACCGGCCACTGCCTCGGCGTCGTCTCCGTCGCCGCTCATCCCTCCGGCGTCATCGCCGCCTCCGCCTCCCTCGACAGCTTCGTCCGTGTCTTCGATGTCGACCACAACAACACCATCGCCACCCTCGAAGCCCCTCCCTCTGAAGTCTGGCACATGCAATTCGACCCCAAGGTAAATTCACTTATCAGCATGTATATATGTATTCATGATCATATCTTTCTTTGGTTTTTGATGATATGGACAGAATTTTTTTGAGTGAGCCCTTAGATTGAGATATACATTTGGAAATTGAGCCGTTTTAGAAGTGGTTTATTTACAAATTAGGTAATTAGCTATGTTTTCCTGTAAAAGATAAACATGTATATATGTATCTTTTATGTATACTTGTTTTGTGGCTTTTGATTTCTGAGCAATGACATAGATGGAATTCATTCTTTGTTAGATTGAGATGTCAATTTGAACCTATTGACATCCACCACATACATACAGTAGCATTTTTGCACCTATTGGTGTTTCAAAGTTGTATTTTTTTGTCTAGGGTGTTCTTTGCTTTTAGCTGTTTTCCAATTTGTGATAGGCCGTTGGTGATTGAATAATTTTGGGAACTATGTGACTTGGAACATTGATCGTTTCATTACTTGGAACGGGAATGGGAACGAAAACATGGTACACCTTATGCTCTACAATGTGATACGAGAAGTGTAGACTTGTATTGATTAAACTATAAGAATTTAAGGGACTGATGGACTACTTTTTTTAACAATTATATGTCTAATAAAATGTAGGGTTCCCCCATTAGTCCTATAGCACCCTTAGATTTTCATTCATTATATATATAAAAAATATACAAAAAAAATTTAAAAAAAAATTCTTGTGCACAGTTCATATTTTGTCAACAAATTCTTGTTCATTTTTGTGCTCCTATGAACCATTAAAGAGACCAAGATTGCATTAGATGGTGGTCACTGGCATGGGGTAGGCAGCGGGGGTGTGGTAAGGTTGCAAGGAGTGGTGGCTGGTGCAGTGTTTTTTTTATTAATTTTATTTTCTTCCTCCTTAGTTGTCTTCCCTCAATGCAGTGGCTAATTGTCCCCCATTACATATATACATAGCTCAAATCTAGATTCGAATTGTGAATCAAAATGGCATTAATCGTGAATCATAAAGATTCGGTTAGTTTTTCTTACTTAGAAAAGTATATCTACACACGTAGATGTTAGATATATCTTATAAATATGAAATATTTAGACTTAAATCTTAGAAAATGTTGTTTTGAATGATGATCATGTGGTCTAATATGTAAAAAGTTAACACGGATTCCTACATAAAATCACCATATTACTTTTTCCCTTTTTCTAGATATTTCTTATCAACTAATCTTAATAAAGAAAGTAAACAAAGACAATCTCTTAATTTATAAGTAACAATAACTTAAAAAACGATGTTGATATTTAGATAATAAGCTTACATATTTTTTCAAGTAACAATAATCTAATAATAAGAAATAATTTATTAGAATCCTTTATTTTAAAACCTAAAATTTTTTAAAAATTATATATGCTTATTGTCCAAAAAGTATAAAAATTTATGGAAGCATTAGGTTTAACTGACATCATCTGTGTAATAATATTGAACTATCTTTACTTTAATAAAATAGTAATAGATAATTCATGGTGCTAGTTCCTTCAACCCTAGACATTTTTAGAAAATATATTAATGATTTTCTTCTCATTTTTTTTTCCTTAAAAAATCATAATATATCTTCTAAAAATGTCTAACTTAATCTGATTAAATCTTATTAAAAACTTACTAACCACCAAAATAACAACAAATCATGTATATGTATCGGTTATTTTCACACTAAATACTTTTAGAAGTTATATTATATCATTTTCACTAAAGAGAGAAAAAAAAAAAAAAAAACAAAGGTATGATAGTTTTAAGAATTGCATGAATTGTAAAAAGCAAATCAAATTGAAACGTGAATCGATTGTGAATCATGCGATTCTCCATATATTCACTTCCAAAATAGATTCACCTATAAATTCGTATTGATTTTCTATAAATTGTGAATTGAATCATGAATCGAGTTGTGAGTCATAAGATTCTGATAACAAAGCATATATATATATCGCTAACAGTTGCATGCCAACACAGTGCTCAATACAATTTGGTGGCCAAAGAAGCCAACTCCCCACCACTAGCTAAAATTCAATTTTGAATCAAAACAAAATTTAGAAATAATATTGCATTGTAGATCACTATTGAGTCTCACTATACGTCTAAAGAATCAGAAATTGAATGAATTTGTATGAAAATTAAGAAAGAAAAATGAAATAATAATAAAAAACTAAAACTGTGAAATCAAAATCAAAATCTAAATCTAAAATTGTGTTTATATGATTGAAGGGCTGGGGTTGTTGAGCCAAAATGTGTGCAAAGATTATATATATACACACTGTGGGTTAGTGTGTAATGGGTGTTGCATGGTAAAAGGAAGGGGATGGAAAATTGGTGTGGGGCAGTGTGTTTGGATGGGGTGAATACAGAGAAACAGTAGAATGCGGAAGAATAATGGCATGTTTTTGTAAATTTAAAGACATATAAAGGGTATTTTGGTCTTAAAAAACTAGCTTACTCTCCTCATGGGTGTGTGACCTTCACAACAAGTTAATTTGGATGGAAATATGGATGGTGCACTCTGGTCCACACACCACATGGGGGTTATGTAATTATAGTGTGTTTTGCTTATTTATGGTAAAAGTTATGAGTGACGAATTTATGGCGTGCACTCTGAATTGGAAGTTATATGTTTTGTAGTGAGCAAAAAGTTATATTTTTTGTGATGAGTTATGTCATTTTATACTCGTAACAAAATTGTGTATTGTTGTTATTAAGGGCAGACTAAATGCACCCTTTTAGCGGTGCACATAGCAGCATCTCCCCAATGCTTGTTTTTCTTCTCCTATTTTTGGACTTTATTTACATCTATTTGGTAGTTTATTCACTATCTTAAATTATTTCATTTCTTAAATTCTCTCAAACTTCTATCATGTCTATCATATAATGTTTCGTAAGATCTGATAAGAATTTATGTCTGTCCAAGTTGCATCTATTGTTAATCACCTTTTAACTACTAGGTTCTTCTTTATAGTTTGTTTGTATCACTTGTTGCCGCTAAATTGTTGGGATTAGGCATTGTAGGTCAAGTTAATGATCAAATTCTTGTTGTAGTTTATATCGTATTTACTTAATGGGTGTAACAGCCTTTTATTTATTAAATGCTTAGTCAAACAGTAACTTCATTCTACATTGGTGGAGAAATGAAGTAATTGAATGCAGATAAAGGAGCGTTGGAAAGTACAAGCCATGAGTGCTTGTAGTAAGGATTTGGTTTGTGTAGAATTCAATATCTGTTTGGAACATTTAACCAATAACATTTGTAATTGGGACTAAACTTTTTTACTTTTGAGTATGGAAATAGTGTACGACTGGAATAGATGCTAGAACTGCGTTGCTGTTAGTGTTGTCATAATGCTTTCCTTCACCATCTTTGCAAGCAGAAAAGCTTCAAGGTGAACCAACTAGAGCTAGCCCAGTTGTGCCAGAACCCTTGCACCTCACTAGAGGTCAAGGTTTCAACTCTCCACCTCCTAGGGCTGTGAATGAGCCAAGCCAAGCCGAGTATTACCATGTTCAAGCTCAGCTCGATCATTTTGCACTGTGTTCGAGCTCAAATTGAGCTGAACTAGTGAAACTCGAACTCTGTTTGTCAAGCTTTAGCAAAGGTTGAGTTCGGCTCAAAAAATTCAACTTTTTGCCAAAGAAGCTCATATCTGATGATATGAGTCTTGCTTCAAGCATCACAATTGCTCTTCCATATGAGAGTGTTAAATGTCTACTAAGTTTGTTGGGGACTGATGTGGGAAACTGATGCAGCACACGTAGGTTTGAAGCAAGTTTTAAGCTAACTTAGGGTTAGGTTTAGTGAAATAAAGCTAGGGTGGTTAGTGTTTGGTTATGAATGGTTTGGGCTTAAGGAAACAAGAATTTATGATGGAAGAAAGACTGTTTATGGGCTGGAAGTAGTAAACTGTGAACAGAGGCAATAGGAAAAGAGAAAATGATGAAGAAAACTAGGAATCACTCCTAGAATCCCTTAGGCATCACACCTAGGGTTGGGTTGCATCACACAAACCCTAAATAAGCTTCAAAACTCTCAATTTTTTTTTATAAAATATCAACTTTATTGAATTAGAGGCATTATATGGCTTTATATAGACTTTAGAGACTTCCTAAATCAACTAGAATAAAAAAAAGAAACTGCTATAATATCTTAAACTTCCAAAATTAATTTTAGACCAAATAAGAAATATAAATAAAACTCAATTAAATAACTTGACCCACAAGACGACCCATGGGTGACCCATATAACCTATGTTAGTAAATATAAAATTACCAAAATACCCTAAACCTTAAAAATCCTAGAAAACATAAAAATAATAATAAAATAAGACTCTAATAATACTAGAAACATAATCATAGAAGATTTCTATCAGTTTCTCTATGAAATCATGCCAATGTCCAAGTATCATCACTTCTCTGAATTTAGCCTTCTTAGAGCTTCTTATACTCTGCATTAGAAACACCGCCTATTTTTCCTAGTTGGTGCTTTACATGAAGTCAATGACGGAAAGACCATTCAGAATATTGGTGCTTGCCTTCACTCAATGAATACCATCCTAATTAATAACTATGCAGCTATACCAATTGAATGTAGCATCTTGGTTCAATGGGAATGGACTTCGGGCATCGAATCAGCTGAACGATGAGAACAATGGAACTGCTTGTTTGCACCCCATTATTCCTTTAGAGTGGAAAATAACAGTGAAATTGTGGGGGTTACTAATGGAGGGGAACTTGGTTTTACAGTGACATTCTTGCTCTAAGCTTCCAATTTTCTTCCTCCTTAAAAAGAGGAGCGTCTTTGCAAAGAAGGTTTGGAGTTTTGTAGTAGTTGTCTTGAAAGTAACTGTGTGCTTTATGTGGTATAAACAATAAGTAATTTGCCTAACTGTATATATAACTCAACGGATTGTGTGTTCATATATGTATATATATATACATATAGATAAATATGATTATACTAATACTATTTGATAGGAAGACGATAAAGAATAATTTAGAATGGGTGATCATGAAAAGTTGGATGTTGCCATCAACTACTCATTTATGTGCTGACGTAACATTTTGTTGATGGCATAACATTGTTGATGAATAAGTTGGCTGTCCCACATCGGCAGGACATAGCTCCAGGAGGCCTCTTATCCTTTATAAAATAGTATGCCAGTGGTTGAAAACAAAGCATGGTTCTCTTGTCCCACTCCGACAAAAATAGTGAGGCATAAGGAATCCCACTCTTTATATAATGAATATGCTTATAATATCATTGATTGGTTTTGAAATAAAAATATATAGCGAGCCCAGCTTAATTGAGTACAGCTATCTTTTGCTGAAGTTCGGCATGTTTAGTAACAAGTTGAAAAGATAGGCTCAAGCTCGTTCATAAACATAAATGAATTTGAATGAGTTTTTCTTAGGTGAATTAGTTGGAACGAGTTGTGATTGAGCTGAGCTTGAGTGTTCATGAGCAGCTTGGTTCATTTTAGTAAACGAGTTGAAAAGATAGGCTCAATCTGCTTGTGTGCTAATGTAGCTTTTAAGCACCTACTCACTTTTTTTTGGGCATAAGATCTTCACTTTCTGTCTGTGATTGCATTGTAAACATTATTTTACTTTCAATACACAATACTATTTACCTTATTCGTGATGAATGTAGTTGTTAAATACTATGAGACAACACCTTGGAGCCAATTGGACCATACGGTCATCCCCCACAGTGTAGGTGGTTAGCGTTTGAGTTACTTTGAAAGTAGAAGACGAAGATAAGGGCAATTTTATCTTTACACATTGAGATTTGACTTTGATTAAAAAAAATCTTCCCCACTTTCTAAGCAAGCGCATGTAACAAAATTTCTGTCTATTTGGATAGAAAATTTAATTATAGTCGTTTAATCCAAAATTACGTGGGAAGTATTTTTAAAAGACGTCGGGTGAACATTTCACAAGGGCATAATGTGGATTTTGCCCTATGAATTGATGGGGAAATTTTAGAGAAGCAAAGGACAAAATTTTTTTTTTCCTTTGGCAAATTAGTAGGATGTTTCCCAAAATAGCAGTGGAGATCAAAATTAAAAAAGAAATTGCAAACATATGGAATCAAGACTTAAAAATACCAAAATTCCCTTTCCCTCCTCTGTCTTCCCCTCCATCGGCAACTTGGACGCCGACAAACCCTCCCTCTTCCCCCTCATCACCGTAAAGCCCCCCTTCTCTACTTTTTTGACGCCGCCACCCCTCCTCCACCCTAACCGATTGCTGGAGACCCCTCCCCTACCTCAACCCCCTCAGATTGGATTGGATCTAAAAAATACCCCAGAATCAAAACCCTAAAAGGGGAGGGAGGGAGAGAGGGAGAGAGAGAGAGACCTGGTTGGGTGTTGCGATCTAATCACGACGGTCGCGGTGGCAGTTGGTCGCAATGACAGTCACAGTGGTTGTGATTGTGGCTGGGTGAGACGGTGGCGGCAGAGGGAGAGGTCGTGGTCGCTGTAGTCGTGATCTACTATTGAGGTTGCGGTGACAGTCGCTATAATCGTAGTTGCAATGTTGGTTGGGTGTGGGGAAATAAAGGCCAAACTATCACATCAAGGTAGAACTCACAGTAATGCCACCTCATTAGTACAACTTTAGAACTGCTACTTTAGTGAATATGGATCTACTGTCTAAAATTTTAATGACGGACTTTAACTTTGGGATGGAGGAGGTGTGGGAGGGGCTTCTGGCTGCAGGGGAGATGGTGAAGGTTTGCCTATGTGGTAGAGGTTTTAGGGGAGAGGGAAGAGACAAAGAAAGAGGAGAATTTGGTAAGTTGACCAGTTTTGCCATGTTTCTGTAATTTCTTTTGGACACTTCCATACATGTTGCAATTAATTTTGATTCTTCCACTAAATTTCAATATTTTTTTCTTCTTTCCATTTTACTGTAATATCCCCTAAATTAATTGTATTTTTCTAAGGAATTCATTTGCCACTTTTAGCTGTTGTCTGACCTCTGGCTTAACTGACGGAGACACCTTGACATTTTGTGACAGTCTGCTGAGACTTCTATTTTCAATTTTTTATTTCAATCTGCTTGTGTTTACACAGCTTCTAAGCACCAGCTCACATTATTACAGCATAGGGTCTTTAGTTTTCCATTTGCGTTAACGTTGTAAGCATTATTTCATTTCAATATACAATAATTATTTACCTTCTGGGTGACGAATATAGTTCATAACTAATAAGTTCAACACTTCTAGACAATAACTTGTAGCCATTTGGATGATACAGTCATCCCCCATGGTGCACATATGTTGTATACAGCCATGCCATATGTGCCAGTTGATTTGCTGCCATGGTAATGTTTGTGTATGGATGTGTTGGTATTAGGTCCACCTAATTAAAGTTCTACTTCATTTGGGTGTGTTTGACCACAAAATCGATAATTTAAGGAATGGTTAAATGTAGTCAAGAATTGTAATTAATGCTCCTATTTGGGCAAAAAATAATTTCTGCAAACTGCTTTTCGCATTTTCTGTTGTTTGGTAGAACGGAAAATGAAAGTGACAATGTACATTCATTTCAAGGATGCAACTGAACATGAAACATTTTCTAGAATAAGCGTTTCGTTGGAAATATTTTCTTCCGAAACAAACCGGGCATCAATAAAATTATAATTTTCTTTGGCAGCTTACCAACAATTATGTGTGTATTTTATTATTATTATTATTATTTTTTTTTCCAGGGTACCACTCTAGCAGTTGCCGGTGGCGGCAGTGCATCTGTCAAACTCTGGGACACCGCCGAATGGAAGCTGATAGCTTCCTTATCCATCCCTCGCCCCGAAGGATCAAAGTCCTCTGATAAAAGTGGCAACAAAAAGTTTGTTCTCTCAGTTGCTTGGAGCCCAGATGGGAAACGACTGGCTTGTGGCTCGATGGATGGCACAATCTCGGTTTTTGATGTATCTCGTGCCAAATTCCTACACCATTTGGAAGGACACTTCATGCCCGTGCGGTCTCTTGTATATTCACCTGTTGATCCGAAGATTCTCTTCTCGGCCTCAGACGATGCCCACGTAAGAGCTTGATTAATGCTCTGTCGGGTCATACTAGCTGGGTTTTGAGTGTGGATGCGAGTCCAGATGGGGCAGCAATTGCGACTGGATCAAGTGATAAGTCTGTGAAACTCTGGGATCTCAAAATGAGGACAGCAGTGCAGACACTAAGCAGCCATACAGACCAGGTCTGGGCTGTGGCGTTTCGGCCACCTGGTGGGACTGGTGTGCGAGCTGGTAGACTAGCCAGTGTGTCAGATGACAAGAGCATATCACTCTATGATTACTCTTGAGGTAAGGCAATGTTTTGTTTTTTTTTTTCCTTCAGAAATGCTGGTTGCGTCTTTTTCCATATATTTGCCAAAACTGTTATCAAGAAAATGTTTTTTATTTATAAATAATTTTGTAATCTTATCTTTCTCCATTAGTTTGAAGTTTTCATGTATCATGAGTTTCAATTAAACAGACAAAGACATTTGGCATAGTAGTTGTGTAACATTATTTTTGTGTGATTATGGATTCAATTCTTATGGAGTGAGGTTTGAGTTCTCCGTGGTATTTATTTCTCCCTTATAACATTTGTAAGTTTTTATTTTATTATGTTCGTCGTGAAAAAAAATGGATGATCTATTTTAAAAAGTATAATTGTTTTCTTTCTTTTTTTTAATTTTATTTTAAGACAAATGTGATAAAATAAAAATATTGTAATTATTAGATCAATTTAATTTTTTCATGAATAATGAACATTGATGATTGTACAAAATAAATGGAGATTCATAACCGATCCCACAAGTCTCTTAGATTTTCTCAAGTTCAACTGTGAACTTGAAGGAACCAAACCCTAAATGTAAACTTCCGAAGTGAAGGTGGTTGTTCTTTTTTTTTTTTAATTTATTTATTGGAAAGCAAATTTTCATTGTAAAATCGATAAAAATTGAATCAATCTTATACATTGATAGCAAAAAGATTAAAATTTTTTAGCAATCCATAGAGGAAAAAAAATCTCACAAATAAGGGACATAACCTCCACACAGGGAGGGTTATTACAACAAATAATTAAAAAATAGGTAAATTATAACACTTTTTGAGGTTTATTTAAATTACAAATTATCTTCTGTGGTCTTAGAAATTACATTATGTCTTCTAAGGTTTTTAATTTCGTAACAAATAGGTCATTTTATTAATAAAGTATTAAGTTAATTAACAGTTTTTAATAATGTTCAAATTTTATTTCAATAAATAATTCAGATAATTTTATTATTGTATAGGTGAACAGTTAGAAATTTCACTTTTTCAATTAATTCTGTTAAATAAAAAATCCTGATAGGGAGATATTTGTAATTTTTTAAATCATAGGGGCAATTGCACTGCAACTTTCAACTTGAAATTTGAAGACTCCACCCTCGCTGGTTAAGATGAAACATTGAAATTGAGGTGGTTGCCTAATATGAAACGAATGTCTTAAACAACATTGGTCTTCGGATTGTGAGAAGATCTAAAATTAGATCTTAAAGTTTTGGGCGCGAGGATGAAAGTTTGGACGCAAGCCACACATCAGATTTGGAAGATCAAAAAAAAGGAGAGGCGACGTCAACACTGATGGTCAGAGACAAATTTGAAGGAGATAAGGCAGATCTGATGGCGGTGTGGTGGTGGCGATGCTGAAAATGGTTGGAAGGACAAGCTTCCAATATTATTAAGTCAAAAGACAAAGAAAAGGAAAAATATGAGCAGAAGGAGAAGAGAGAAGGCCGGCTGCCAGAACCCCTCCTCGCTTCCAACGGCACACCCAGCAAAAGGCTTAGAGAGAGATTTCCAAGTGAAGTTGAAACTGCTAAATTGTTTGATTATATTTAGTTGGGCAAAATATATATATATATATATATACACTAGGTATAAAATGCCAGAGCAAGGCATGGGTTATTATTATGATAAATTTAAATTTTAAGAGTATAAATCTTCTAACAAATTATTTTGTTTGGATTGATTGTTTAGATTTCTTTTAGACCCTTGTATTATTGTTGTAACTTTAAATTTCAAAAATCCAAAATAACGAAAATTTTTATTTGTTTTGATTTTTTTTAAAAATTATTTTAGATGGATTTTCATTTGTTTTAATGAATTTCTTTTCATATATATATTTTTTTCTTTTTAGATTCATATGAATCTAACAAATGACTTATTTTATTAATAAATAAATCATACTCGCATAACAAATAGCCAATTTTATTAATAAGTAAATAAATCATTAAGTCAATTAATAAGTTTTAATGATATGAAAAATATCTTTCAATTAACCATTTTGATAATATCTTTCTATTTATTCGGATAACTTGAAAATTCTAGTAAGAGGTAGTTGTAATTTCTAAAATTGTATGGACAATTCATATTTTAAACAAATTTTAAGAGTATATTTGGAATTTATCCCAAAAAAAATTCTTATTTCATAACTAACTAAGACTTTTTGCTTAATTACTGAAAAAAACCTATATCAAAATTAGGCTCACCAACTAAAGGGTTTCAATTAAAATATAGGGATAACAAAAACTTCTCTCTCTACTTCTCTCTCTACCTCTCCTAGGATTTCTTCAAAGGTGCCGCTTGGGGCGGCGGCGGCGGGGAGGGGGGGCTCTGGTCTCCGACAGCCTCTCCCCTCCCTTCTGCCCCCCCATTTTTCGTTTTTCTTGCCTTTTTGGCTCAATAATACTTTGGAAGCTTAGTCTTTCCATTTCTCCCCCCATGTGAGGTCCTTTTCCCCTTCTTGGTGGAACTCTACTCTTCATTCTCATTCTTCTCAAGCTTCCCCAACCAGGACCTCACCGGATCTGTCGATCTTGTCCTCCGTTCACTCTGCCTCCACCCTACCAGATCTGCCGGATCGTCCGTTCCCTAAGTGGGTTGGGCATCAGATCTACTCCTCCTACCACCTCTCCACCACCGGTTTGCCATGGATCCTGATTTGGAGGTCTTTTCTTTTCTGTTTTGTTTTTTTTGGTTTTGCTTGTGGATTTGGGGTCATCTGTGCTGGATTTGTAGCTTTCCAAACTTTGTGGTTGAAATATATGATTTATCTCAGACAGACTCTAATGTCGATTTTGATTGACTCTGCTTTTGCAGTATGAGCCCGAGCACATGATGTGTGCTTGAATATTTTCATATTTTTTCTTCAAAGCGCTGTAATTTTCTTTACTCTGTTTTGGTGTAAGCTTGGTTCTGATAGCCCTTGTAAATGCCATTTTTGGCTTTCATTAATGGATTTCTACTGATCAAAAAAAAAAAAAAAACTAAAGGGTTCTTTTGGAAAGTGGGTTAGTAATTACTTTTCAATTTTTAACCCATTTTGTGTCATATCATTTCTCACATTTTTTACACGAGTTTTCAAAAAATGTCCAAAAAAAGTCAAAAAATCAACTTTTAACCATCTTCCTAAAACAATCCAAAATGAAATGGCAAAATAGAAAAGCAAAATACAAAACCGTAAAAATGTTACCAAAATACCCCTCAAAATAACATTCCAAAAAAAAAAAGAAAAAGAAAACAAATACTTGTATTGTTGTGATAAATTTAAATTTTAAAAAAGCAAATCATCTAAACAATTATTTTATTTCTTTTGATATTAAAAAAAAAGTTTATTTTGTACCCTTGTAAGGCACGGGCGATTACTGTGAAAATTTTTAAATTTCAAAAGACAAATTTTCTTACAAATTATTATGTTTGGTTTGATTTTAAAAAAAATATTTTCACACGGATTTTTGTTTGTTTTAATGAATTTTTTTATATTTTATTTTTTAAATTCAAATACATCTAAAAGTAAAATTAATTGATTAAACTAAAATTTACTAAAAATAAATAAAAATCATAACAAAAGCATCTGCCTATTTTTGTTCAAATTTTTATTTTTTTATTGATTATTTTTATATTTTAATATTTTTTGGTATTTTATAAATGTATCTAATTTTGATGCATCTAATTTTTTTTTTCCAAAGAAAAAGAAACTAAAATATGAATTTTTGTATATGTTTTATGAATAAATAAATCATGAGCCCATAACAAATTATCCATTTTGTTAATAAATAATTCATTACGTCAATTAACAGTTTTTAATGATATGATAAATATCTTTCAACGAACAAGTTTGATAATTTATTGTTGCATAGAAGAGTAGTCAGAACTTTTTTTATTTTATTTTTAATTATTGTGTTAAATTAAAATTTATAACAAACGATAGTTGTACTTTCTAGTATTATAGAGACAGTTTATATTTTAAACAAATCTTATAGGTGTATTTGTAATTTGCTCAAAAACAAAAGATTTATGTTTCATAATTGACGAAGAATGTTTGCGTAATTACAAAAAAATCCTTCACTCAAATTAATACCACCAATATTGATAAATATTACCAAACAAAAAGGTAAAATAGAAATGTCAAAATATAAGTCATCATTAATAAATTATACAAAATGATTGGACAAAATAGGAATTAAAAAAAAAAAAAAAAACACAAGCAGGATGGAGTTTCTCATATTAGTGGTGATACAGACTGCTAATTTAGGAGCACTAATACCAGTTTTAATGAGCAGTGCAAGAAAAAAAAATAAAATAAAGGCCAAACTATCACATCAAGGTAGAACTCACAGTAATGCCACCTCATTAGTACAACTTTAGAACTGCTACTTTAGTGAATATGGATCTACTGTCTAAAATTTTAATGACGGACTTTAACTTTGAATGTATTCTTACATAAGCTGGATCTAATAACAGCTCCTTATGGATGATATATGACTAATTTTTTTCTTAAAAAAATAAAATAAACACTATATAATAAATAATAGTTAAATTGAAAGGAGAATTAGTAATATAAATTTAAAGTAATTTTAATTAATTATTTATTTTTATTCATTTAAAAAATAAAAATACGTAGAAATGAAAGTTATAAAAAAATTATTTTAAAAAATTGAATATAAGAATGTTGCTGTCAAATTAAAAAAAAATAGATAAATTAATAATATATTGATTTTTTTAAATATCTTTTTTGAAATGTTTATACATATTGTATATAATTATATATATAGGTATATAAAATTTAAATTTAATATAAATATTTGGTGAAAAAAAATTTCATGTTAAATAGGAAATAAATTAATATTAAAACATAAATAAGGTAGATGAAATAAATAAGAAATTAAGATCTTTAATATTTAATTTTAAAAAATGGATTCTTGAATAGAAGTGAAAAAAAAAATGAAAGAAAATTAATCCATACATATACCTTTATTAAGTTTTGTTTATAAGTAGTTCAAATTAAATAAAAATATTTTCAATATTAGGTTTTAGATTTAATTAGATCAATAAGTCTAGGAAGCCTTCCCAATTTACCCAAAAATTTACCAACTGCCCACCCACTTCAATGTGGAAGCTATTTTTATTTAAAAGTGAAAATATATATATATACAATAACCTAACCTTAACATAATTCAATTAATTAAGTTATCAATATGTATTACTAATATAGAAAGAGAACAAATTCATATGAATTTAAATAAGTGATTATTAATCAA